GCAAGAGAATCTCACATCTTCGAGCTGGCGTTACATCCCTTTCCACCATCATATTCAATGCCCCCAAAGAAAAAACCCGGTTTTGATATTGGGTCTATTGGATATGTTGGGTAGATTGGCTTCCATTGATCTCTTGTTTTTTCATGTGAAAATCTATGGGTCCATTTCAAACTTCCGCCCAGTGGGTCTATTCAACCTATGGGGGCTCCAACTAAAGGTGGCTGAAATGATCGTATGGGATATTCGGATGTTCACCAAAAAGCGGCGCTCCCAGACCATAAAATACCACTTAACCACCATAAAATCACACTAAACCACCATAAAATCACCACAAAATCCAACTAAACCCAAAGTTTTCAGGCGTTCCCAGGCGCTCTTTGGAGTCTTTGGCCTCACTCTTCAAGCGCCTGGTGCCACGGTCAATTGGGATTTCGCCATTAAACAAATGAGGTAAGTTGAGGAATATGACGTATATATATGTGTGTGTGTGTGTAAAGATGCATATATATAATTATGTGTATGCGTATATGTATATATATACATATTCTGTTATATAGAACCGGTTATACACGTATTGTTGGACGCGTGAATATAAACCAACTGCTTTAAGGCCATGTTTGTTGCTTCTGTACGCATATTATGGGTTCTGCCCACTAAGATACCATTGTTTGATCAGACTTGCCAGTATGGGCGTATTTGAAATAGGATACCACCAAATGTGTTTATTTCAGACCTAATTTTCCTCGTCTATAAAAAATGGAAACCAATTTGGGGATTCAATAATTTTTTACAGAAACCCAAATTGGAAATTGTTGATTATATCCCCTACATATCTTTATGTTTCCTAAATCAATGGTGCATCATAGATTTCCTCCCTTTGCCACTTGGGTTTTGAATAACTTGGATGTGGTAAACCGAACAAAACCATCTCGGTTTACGCCATGGCCCTGGCATGAAAAATGGAGCGATATACCCTCTGGTAAACATACAAAAAACTATTGAGAATTGCCATTTATAGTGGATTTACCCATTAAAAATTGTGATGTTCCATAGTTATGTTAGGTTGCCAGAGGGTAAACAATCCTCAAATGATAAGTTTAGCCACCGATATAAGCCGATCCCCCCGCCTCTGCTGTGCTCCCCAAGAGTTTTCAGAGACTTCCAACTTGGCTTTAGGTTTCCTGGAGCGGATGCTTCGAGGTATTTTTTTTGAAATGGGAAAAATCAAAACGCGGAAGACCATGGTTTGTCAGCATCAAAATGGAACTAAATTGGGTTTTCCTGTAACGAAAATAGATCCAAGTCGGGAAATGGTGAACAGGATGAATACATAAATAAACATCATACATAATCATATATATATATGTAAAAATACCTATGGTTATATGTATATATATATATATATGTATATGAATATGTAAAAAAATACATACAGATACATATCTCACAAAAAATGCTTGCTGTGGGAGATTTTGGAAACTACCTGCACTCAAAAAACACCGAGCCAAAACCTCGGAGCCATGTCGATCCATCCTCGGAGCTAAATACAGTTGAACGTACAGAAGTCAGTGATAAGAAAGCAGCTGCAACAAAAAAAACTGAACGCAACAAAAACTACATATACCCAAAGCATAACTAGATACCTAAACCCAAGGTGAACGCAAGAAAAAAACACAAAAACACTTAAAAACATGGTTGCGCTGTGATCACCAGAGTTTGCTTGCGTTTTCCAAAAAGGCACGACTTCCAGGGAAAGCTTCGACGCAACTAAATATAGACATTTCTTAAAAAAAGGAGCGACTTTGTCGATTGCCTGTACGAATTCATTTTGGGGCCCCGCTTGGTTTGTCTTGATTTGGATCAAACCACAGGAAACCTCCTGGTCTCCTCTGCTTTGCATGTATTTGCATGGTAAGATCCATAGTAAGATCCATCGGACATATGTCATATATGTCATATATGTCATATATGTGATCTTCCCTTAGATCAAACCAATGTGGGGCCCGCAAAAACTCACCTGTTTCCCTTTTTGCTCTGTACGGAACCTCATCAAATGATGGTTTTTAAACCAATAAACCAACTATGTATGGGTCAAAAATCGCAGCATCAAAAATGGATGATGTACATGTGTACACTGAACAATGACTGGTTGGTGGTATACCTACCCCTCTGAAAAAAAATATGAGTTCGTCAGTTGGGATCATATTATTCCCAATATATATGGAAAGTCATTCAAAATTCCATGGTTCCAGTCACCACCAACCAGTCATTTATATCTACCATAAACCAAAAACTATAGAATTCACCATAAACCATAAATATCCATAAATATAATATTTTGATAACTATCCCTATGGATCCAAACCACCAACTGGATGAAATATGCACAATGGCCCAAAATCTGCGGCTTTGTCCACGTTGCTCATGTCCACCTGTCCACCAGCCCCCCGGTTTCCACCCAGCAGATCTCCTTCGGATCTCCTGGCGGGATGAATATCCCCCAAGACAGAAGGAAACCATCAGAAAAAACTTCGAAACATCTTACTTGATGGCTCATCCAAATCATCCAACTTAGCAAGTGGGTTATAACCCCAGTGATTTACTTGGGATTTTTGTAGGGTTAATCCACTTATAATTGGGGTGAACTAACCCACTTACGAGCCGTGGGATGAGCCACCAAGTAGCTCACTTTTGGGACGAACCACTAACACTTTTGGACTCAAGTAACTAAGATTAACTAAGTACCTTCTCAGCAAGTATCTGAAGATATCCAAGCAAAAAAGATAACATATCCAGCATATCCCACGATGTTCGGGGAAAACTTTACGGGAATCTTGCGGGTACCCCGGCGTACCTTTGCCACTACGATTTATCAAGATAGGACGTCAACCCAAACAACAAGATACCCTCTGGTAATTTCACGTAGCTATTGAACATACCCCATTTAGTTCGTTGATTTATGTTCATTTACCTATTCAAAATGGTGATTTTCTAGTTCGCAAACTGTAAACGTTTACCAGACAAGATATAACATGACATAACCCATCGTTGATGGGGGACAAGCGGCGAACAACAGTGTAATCAGTGCCCATTGCCGCCTTCGGGATTTTGCAGTGGGCATAGTTTTTAAAAACAAATGTGTCTGATTGGGGATAGCCTCTGGTAAACATAGTGAACTAGAAAATGTCATCATGTTGAATCGGAAAGACAACTATAGAAATGGGATATGTTCAATAGCTATATGTTAAATTGCCAGAGGGTATCCTTCCCATGTGTGAAACTTGTGAGCACTTTGCGGCTAGGGGCGATATGCCGCGTGGAAAATGGACCATCTCATACGACGTACAGGGACATGGCTATTAGTTAAAACTGGTTATTTCTATGGGATTATACATTCTACAAATGGGGTTATACGATATTATAAGTACTTATAACATCTTATAACTGGTATTTCGGGCCATATAACTGTATCATACTGTCCATTCTGCGGTTTAAACTCAGTTCCATCCCCAGGACTTACCAGGCTATCCCTGTCGCCCAACCATAGCTGTTGCATGAATCATGTATCCAGGATCCACAAGCCCTACTTGATGGCTCATCCCACTTAGTAAGTGGGTTATAACCCCAGTTATAAGTGGATTAACCCTACTTATCCCATTTATAACTGGGGTTATAACCCACTTACTAAGTGGGATGAGCCATCAAGTACTGACAGAACCTAAAAATATTAAACTCTTCGCTAACTTTGGGACACTGTGGAGCCATGATTCATGATAGTGACTATAGTGACTAGTTGAGAATCCATGGGAAAATCTTGTTATATCCCCATTAGATCCCCAATTAAATCACCATTGGTCAAATCTCTATCCAACCTCTTCCCGCCTTGGAAGGAGTTGGCTTCAACTCAGGCGTCTTCGGCTTCTCGATCTTCTCCTCCACTTCCATGGTGCGATACCTCGTTGGAACATTTGCGCGCATTGTGTCATGGAGGAAATCAAAGTAGAAAAACTATCAAACAGGGGCATTTAATATGATTTACTGCAACATGATTTTCACTGTATATACAAATAATGAATAAGAGATATGTATAATTATATAAATATATATACATAATTATGTAATATATAAAATCCTGATATATATATATAATCATAATATATATATATATATATTTTTATATTATATATTATATATTATATATATATTATATTATATTATATTAAATATTATATTATATTATATTAAATATTTTATTATATTTTATATTATATAATATTATATTATATTATATTAATTTATATTATATTATATTATATTATATTATATATATACATAAATGTATATATAAAATTATATATATAATTATATATATAATTATATATATATACATTTATGTATATAATTATATATATATAGGAAAACTATGGACAGCTAAGGTTGTGCAATGGTAACCTATTGAAATGACGTCCCCCTTGTTTTCATCCTGTCGACCATCGCCTCGCATCTTGATCCCCACAGATGCAGCAAACAACCCATCGGTCTCCAGGCTCCCAAAAGATAGCAAGACATCGGAATCCGGATTTTTGGGTCCGTGACAATACTTCCCACAGGCGCTCCTCTCAAATCTTTGATCTCATGCTATATACTACTGGTTGGTGGTTGAGCCCTACCCCTCTTAAAAATGATGGAATTCGTCAAATGGGATCATATTATTCCCAATATCATGGGAAAGTCATTCAAAATTCCAAACGGTTCCAGTCACCACCAATCAGCCATGATGTTTTTCCATTACCAGAGGGTTAATCACCATTAAATCACCATTAATATCCCTACAATGTGAGGCCCCCGTTCGATAGCTAAGTTGGTGCACTAATCACTCCAATTTCACTATGGTTTATGGTACTTATAACATCTTATAACTATAGTTACTGGGGCGAATCTAAACCAAATAAACCAACATTCACATCACTGGGGGAGGCCACATTGTAGGATCCAACGATTGAGCCAGGGACTCCAGGGACCCTCCAAATGACAGTGAGCTGTGGTTGAAAAATGTCCAAAGACAACTGTTGTTGCTTAAGGATCCAGAACTTATGGCCATAGAAACCAGTTATAACTGGTTATTTCAATGGGACTATACATTCTATAAATGGGGTTATAACGGTTATAAGTACTTATAACTGATAAATGGCCATAAATGCAGAACTTATTGGTTCTGTATACAGACTTTGTTGATTTGCAATTGACTCAACATCCAGACCAGAAAGCTGAGTTGGTTTTACAAGTGGGTTATATAACTAGGGTTCAAAAGTTTATGGTGGCGGATGATTCGGCTGTGTCGAAGTAGTTTATGGGCTTTATAAACAAACATACCTACAATGTGGCCCCCCAAGTTACAAGTAAATTCATGAAACACATTAACTATAGTTATATCTACTATCTATAATATCTATAAATCGTAGTTACCCTACTTATACACCAACTGGGGATTGACCAGAACTGTATCTTCCAACTGCCAAGCCGCCACATGGCTGGAGCTTCTGTGGGCATTCGGCACTTCAGGAGGAACCTGTTTTTTTTTGCGTATGGCGAGAACGTGGCGTTACGGCTTCAAGGGTGATCTAAGTTGGGGATTTAGATGGTATGAATGGTTAATGTAATTGTGGATGGATGGTTAAAGATGGATAATATTAAATAGCTAAACCAATTATATAACTACATAAACCAGTCGATAGAGTTCAGTTGCCTTATAAGTGGCGGAATTCTATGGTTTATGGTAGATACAGCTATAGTATTCATGGGGTTTATAAACCAACTTATAACTGGGGAGCACCATCCTGTATGAGTCAAAATTGGGTACCCCAGCAATTGGATGGTTAATATGAAGCCTAGACTTAAATCTGCGGTCCATTTTTACTTTTTACCCATAGTTATTTAGCCAACAACAAAATTAGGGAAACAAAGATGGTGGCTCACGATCCAAAATGGTGTTTTTTTCTAGGAAACAAAAATGATTTAGTGGTGATCGAATCAGTGTATTATGGGAATCAGTGTATTATGGTATATTATACTACAAGATATCATATGGTAAACCAATTGTTGAATGGTAGATAATCTGATACATGGTGATTTAACCAACCATTCTCATATGAATGTGACGGGATGTTTGGGTAAACCAACAAGTCGCAAGTCCGCATGGCCTATCCAACTAGGGAATCAACACAAAAAAAAGGGCTTCACCAACGAAAAAAACCATGATTTCACCAGTCAAAACAGAGCTGTTTTTCAGTGTTTAACATGATTCAGCCAAATTAAAAAACATTGTGTTTCTCAAAATGGTGGTATCCCAAAATGGTTGGAAAATCATGGAAAATCCTCTTAAAGTGGAGGATTTGGGGTTTAGGGTAGCCCAAATCCTTAGGAGACCTCCCTCCATGGCAATATGTTTTGGGAATTTAATACAATTTACCCTCTGGTAATTTGTTACATAGCTATTGAAAATGACCATAGAAATAGTGGATTTACCAATGAAAAATTGTGATTTTCCATAGTTATGTTAGTTTAACACAATTTAAACAAACACAATCATTGTGCTCGAAACTCCCCCTACAATTCAAGTGCTGGGGTTCCCAAAAGAAGTGTCTGCCACCACATTCTGATTGAGGAAGGGTTGTACAAGGTGGTGCCCCCCCCAATTATAAATGGGTTATAATCCCATTATATAAGTATAGATATATCACCTATAAACCATAGTTATTGGACTTATAAACCAACTTAGCAAACTAACTCGGGCACCACCCTGTAATCACGTCAGGAAAAAAAGGAAGTCACAATGTCCTGATCCAGTCAAGCATGATAATGCTCACACCAGAAAACTTATGTATTTTGCCAAAGTGGTTTGCTCCACCTTTCGAAACCCTAGGGGCCTAAGTTTTGCTTACGCGACCCAGTCACATGACACAACTCTTCATAATAATGAGTATAGTTCTGACGATGCCCAACGGGAATTAAATCTACAATGTGGGGCCTGCTAGATAGCTAAGTTGGTTTATAACTTGGCTTATGGTGGATAAAACTATAATTACTTAATTGGGTTTATAAACCAACAAACATAGCCATGGGGCCCCATATTGTAAATGATTCCAACAAACGAGATGAGCACTGTATAAAACTCTCTGTCCTCCCTTTATGCCGGTTGATTTATAGGGTTTCCGGGGTTTCCCTAATGGATTGTGATAATCTCATAGTTGGCTAGTATAATCCCCGAACTAATCATCAACCAATCATTATCTATCAATTATATACATGTATAAGTATATATATATACATATCCCCACATGTTTAATGGTTAGAACCCTAAAAGTGATGGTAATATCACCATAAACTACCTATCATGAAACAACCGGGGTGTCTAAGGGTAGCAGCCACTGCTCCGTGCCGAAGCCGCGCCCGTTGCTTCGTTGGGCATCCCGGCGCGAGGTCATAGACAGGGCCGCCCGTTGCAGTCACGGACATTTCACCCTCGGGTTCCGAGGAGGCAGAGCCTGAGTTGCACTAAATCATGGGATTCGGAGTGATGAAGAAAATCATGGCATAATATATATATATATATATATCTGGGTAAATTTTAATAATCCCGTTCGATAGCGTTCAGTTGGTGCACATAACTCCAATAACTATGGTTTATGGTACTTATAACTATAGTTACTGGGGCTTATAAACAAACTTATAACTGGGGGGGCACATTGTATATATATATATATATATACAAATTTAAATCAATAGATATTATATATATAAGTTAATGGGTTGATAATATATACATAATTGATGTACATATGGAATGCTATAGTATAATGGGAATACGTAATATTATATTATATATGTGAATTGATATCAATGGGTTCAAATATCCTTAATTGATGTATATATGATATGAATGATATATTGATATCAACCGGACATTATTAGTTTATAATAGGAATATGATAATGATATTTTGATGTATCATTATTTCTCATTATGTATACATTGCTTGTGTATATCCCAAGATATGAATATATATATATATATATACATATGTATACACATACAGTATATTTCCGGCAGAAAAAAACAATGGGATCGTATCTGGGGATAACATACATATACAAAAGTATATGTATAAAATCAATATTATATAAATATATACATATCAGATTGATATATAATTGGGATGATATACACCAACAAAGATACCAAGTAACAGTAAGTGGCTAATACACCATGAAATACAACAGTGTATGTATTCAAAAAATGCATGTTTTTTCATGTTTTCCACATGGGTTTGTCTGAAAATAAGGTACCACAAAGGCCACTGGTTCATCATAATTTTGCCTATTAAAACTTCAAGTTTGGGGGTATATACAGTTTTCAGACCTATTTCTGACAGTCCAAAACAAAGTAGGTCACATATCCAGTATGAGTATTTTGGCATAATTTTGTTCGTAAAAATGAAAGAAACTGGTTAGTTCAACCCCCATTTGTTTGCTTAGATCCCCGGGTCATTTTCACATAGTTTCCAGAAGTAATAGTTTTTGCATACCCCAAGATGTTGCTTACCCCTAAATCCATTCTATATCATTCTACCCCCATTATTGTTGCACCAGGTTGATGCTTAATCCACTTTTCCCCCTGCTTCTGTTGGTTCCCATGAAAAATCACCATTTTTCCTAGTGAAATCCCCATGTTTGATGGTACATCATGTTTCTGTCATTTTCCTACAGTTTTTTTCCCCACCTGCCAGGTGAGGGTTGCTAGGTTTTATCAGAGCTGTTCTCCTCCTCCGCCTCCTCCTCGCAGTCCAGATCCCAGTGGGCACAGCCGGACCTCCACCGCGAGCTCCAGATCCCAGTGGGCACAGCCGGCCCAGTGGGCACTGCCGGACCTCAACCGCGACTTCCAGGTCGCTGGGCACTGCCGGACCTCAACCGCGACTTCCAGATCGCAGTGGGCACTGCCGGACCTCAACCGCGACTTCTAGATCGCAGTGGGCACTGCCGGACCTCAACGGCCAGTTAGAATGCCAGAAGATATGCCAGATGGAATGTCAGATAGAATGCCAGAAGATATGTCAGATAGAATGCCAAAAGATATGCCAGATAGAATGCCAGAAGATATGTCAGATAGAATGCCAGATAGAATGCCAGAAGATATGCCAGAAGATATGCCAGAACATATGCCAGAAGATATGCCAGAAGATATGCCAGAACATATGCCAGAAGATATGCCAGATAGAATGCCAGATAGAATGCCAGTAGATATGTCAGATAGTCAAAATGCCAGAAGTTTTGCCAGTAAGAAAATGTATAAATGTCATGGTGGGGATCATTCGAAGTGAAGTAATTTTCCCCATTATTTTCCCGTATTCTGTGGGTTCAACCAATCTTGTTCAATGTCAATGTATCATTCAAACACAAAATCTTAACAGGTTGGTTGTATCACCACTATATCGCCATTACATCATCATCCTCCACTTTTCCTGTTGGTCATGAAGTTTAAGAAGCAAAAACAGCTAATTGGCACATATGAACACTATATTCTCATGATACTGTGGATGGGAGAAATCTTGCACCAGTTTGGTAATTATATATTATATACGTACAGTTTATCCTACTACGATCCCATTATCTACAGTGTTTCATACTTCCCACTAGTTACCAACTTCTGCAGGATTTCTTCCATCCCCATGATATCACCATTTTGACAGGTGAACTCGCACATATTGAATCATATTAACACATGTGTTTAAATATATATATATATATAAACATAATATATATATATATGTTAATATGATTCAAGTAGTGTGTATATATATATATATGCAAATGCTGCACCTACAATATCGGGTATGGGCAAGTTCGTCCCCAACAAGACTCCTGCTCCAACTCCGATTCCACGGCGATTCACAAGCCTCGGGCCCCGCGCCGTAAACTCGCTTCCACTCACTCCATCGAAGAACAGAGCGTCTCCACCCTTCATCACTGAGCAGTTCACTGCTGCTAAGCTCACTCCTGACTCGTCTGCAGCGAATCCTGGTTCGTTCAAGCTCAGCATAGTGACACTGGGCAACTCAATGGGCATCACAGGCTGAATAGATCTCCACACTGGCAGCATTTGGCCTTTTGGGTAGATTCATCATGCTGAGCCTCAGCGACGCATTCCAGCAAGAGGCCAGAGCTTTCCAACCAGAAAGCACAACGCAGAAGTGAACGCAAAGTGTCACTACGAGCATCCAAACTTCGCAGCTGTTGTCCTTGTGGAGAAAACGGCTGACAGGGGAAACCCGCTGTTAGCATCGGCTGGCACTTCTGAGCACTTTGCAAACCATGTAGCTTGAAGACCAAACTGGAACTGCCGATGTCTTCACAAAATGTGGGAACAGAATGGTTCAAGGAAAAACCGGAAATGGCCAAATGTGGCAAATCAAATCCAGAGATGGCACGCGATCCAACGAAGTCCAAGGCAGACGAAAATCCACCAAGACCACAGCAGACATCGTGAGCACACTTGAAATCGGAAATGTCAACAGGCTTATGAAACATGGGGGAGAATTTGGGGTCCAGGTTCACCTCCCAAGCATCACCCATATTTTGGCCAGCCCATCTCACATTGTACAGGCTCATCCTTTCACCTTCGAGCACACCCTCATGTCGAAAGGCGATCTTCACATCAAAGGGAATTTCAACTCCAAAATGATAGCCACCAATTGGGTGTGTCTGAAAATAGTGTACCCCTAAACCCAATGGTTAATGATCATTATCCCTATTAAATGGCTATAATTGGGAATATACCATATTTTCAGACAAACCCAATTGAATCCAATTGATTCTTTCCAGTCAACCACCATATTGAATGAACCACCTTTGCTGTAATCCAGACAAGATTTCAGTTCCATTGCGTGAAATCCACCCTCAAACTCTGCTGATAACGGCAAAAACCCCTGGTAGGTGTCTGAGCCAAACTTATATTAATGTAATGTATCCCCAAGATATCACCAGTATGATCATCATATGACCATTGTATTCCCACGTTTCCCATGTTTTGTGTTGCCTTCCACCAAGGAACTAATCTCCCCGGTGGACAAGGTCCGTTCGGTGCCGAAGGCGCTCGCAGGCTCTGCCTGGCAACGTGTGCCTTCGGTGGTGCACCAGTTATGTTTGTTGGTTTTATAAACCATAGATATAATATAATAATATATCTATATATCTCATGCTTAGGTTTGGTTGGGTTTGGTTTGGTTAGGTTTGATTTAGGTTAGGTTAGGTTAGGTTATGTTATGTTTGTTGGTTTTATAACTCCGTTGACAATAGATATATCATGTATCTATCATAAATCTACGGTTGTTAGCTACTTATGAACTAATTTAGCAATGGGGCAACGCCTTGTAGCGAAGTTGGAAAACATTGTATTTCTATTTGGTTAGAACATGGTGCCCATGATTGTTAAGTTGCATGAAATAAACTGAAAAAATGGCTTCACTAGAGTTTACTGGGGTATATAGTGGAATAAACCAAGAACCATAAGTGTACCGGGGAGCGGTCTTGTCACAAGGAATCAACCAAGAACAGGGAAAGATGATCAGATAGTGGTGATTTTTAGTAGGGATTGATGTTGATTTAATGGTCACAATATGGGGATTTCACAGGGAAACATCACATATCATGGGGATGTAGTAGAGATTACCAGCAGTACCCTCTGGTGAACTAACATAGCAATTGAAAATGGCCATTTATAGTGGATTTTCCCATAAAAAATGGTGATTTTCCATTGCTATGTTAGTTCACCAGAGGGTATATGATATCTGTGCGTGCCTGAACATGGTAATGTGGGGCTTTGCGTGAATTATGTACATGCACTGCTCCTTGCGGCACGGGGTCATTCCGTGGGCTGTGAACTCATAAATCTTCTGTAGTCTTCAGCGTTTCTTCTCTGCTCCGGGGTGATCTTCAACTTCGTTAAGTATTTCTTCTTGCTGTACGTCGACTTAACTCCAAAAGAACTGGTTTTTGAGGCCTGTTTTGGCTTACCTGCCTCTATTTTCATAATTGCTGATAAAATGCCTCAGTTTCAAATGTGTCCCGCATCTTCAGACCCCCATTTTTTGAGTGTTCATGCAATCTTTTTTAGAGTGTTTCAAGCCTTTCCATGTGCGTGGTTTTAACCCAAGAATCCACCCTCAACAACAAACCCATCCCAAAATTTTCCAGGGTTTGTCTGAAAATAGGCTACCCTTTCCCCCAATTTTCCAATGGTATGTCGTCATATATTTTCCCCAATTCTATAATGGATATAATGGTCATATTGGTGAAACTTTTCTTCAGTTTTCCGACAAGATATTATTGGTGAAACTTCCGTTCAGTTCTATCACCAGTTTTTTCCAGTCAAATTACCATTTTCCCCAGTTAAATCCACATGTTCTGCATGTTTTTTTGGGTAAATCCACATTCTCCAAGGATTTTTGTTCGCCATCTCCCATGCCCATGGGAGGCCCTTTAGGGCCTCCAGATCTTTCAAAGTCGCCAGGCTCTTGGTGTCGGTGGCACCTGGAAAACGTGAGGAAATGGCAGCAGCGACTTGGAGGATCATCCCAATACCCTCTGGTTATGACTAACATAGCCATGGAAAATCCCAACCATAAATGGAGGTTTCGATCGCTGGGAAAATCCTCTATTTCGATTTGGGCCATCTATGCCATGGCTATGTTAGTCATAACCAGAGGGTAGTACAATGTCGGGCCCGTCGGGCCCCCGTGTACGATAGCGTTCAGTTGGTGCACATAACTTCAATTTCACTATAATGTATGATACCTATAACCATAATTAATGGGTTGTATAAACCAACTTATAACTGTGGGGCCCAACATTGTAGGTATATCAACTATTTCTAAAGGCCGTTTTCAATGGCTATGTTAGTTTAGTGGAGGGTACGCTCTGGTAAATTAACAGTTCGACCCTGAACATCACTGATTTTTACTGGAAACTACTCTTCCAACCCTCTCAACTGGCAGGTTCTATGTTCATTTCTTGGAGAGAAAGTGGCTAATACTTGGTGGTTCATCCCACTTAGTAAGTGGGTTATAACCCCAGTTATAAATGGGATAAGTAGGGTTAATCCACTTATAATTGTGGTTATAACCCACTTACTAAGTGGGATGAGCCACCAAGTAGGCCTAGTTAGTAAGTCCCCTAGGATCATTTCATGAATGACAACTGTCATAATGCCCGGATTAGAAGAAATCACCAAAGCAGTTAGTAAGCTCATTTTGCTCCCCCCAATCATGGCCAACTTGAAAAAATGGATATCCTGCACTATTTCTTTGAGCTGGTGTATACATGTATATATATATGTACATATATATATATATATATATATATGTATATACATATAGTTAAATGAACGTCACCATTTATGGCAAAACAAAATGAGAGAATTCCCATCATCCAGGGTGGACCTCCCAGTTCTGTTTGTTGCCTTATAAACTCTATTGACTATAGTGATAACTACTATAACTGGTTGGTGGTATACCTACCCCTCTGAAAAATATGAAAGTCAATTGGGATGATTATTCCCAATATTAGGAAAAATAAAAAATGTTCCAAACCACCAACCAGATAAACCCTAGTTAACCAAGTGGTTTCAAAACACTTCGCTCACACATTTAGTTATGAAGCTGGTTAATTTCTTATAATATCCCATTACATCCTCATAATATCCCTATCATATCCCCATATGTTATATTATATCATCTATCCACATTGTACCATGAGTTCATCATCTATCATCCTCATATATCCTCATATATCATGATATATTCATTATTATCATCTACTATACTTGGTGGCTCATCCCACTTAGTAAGTGGGTTATAACCCCAATTATAAGTGGATTAACCCTACTTATCCCATTTATAACTGGGGCTATAACCCACTTGCTAAGTGGGATGAGCCACCAAGTATCATCTATTATATCATCTATCCACACTATATCATCATATCCCCATGCAAAATTCCCCATAGTTCAGATTTTTTTGGACCCCAGGTTCGCGTCACTCGGCGCAAAACCGAGCCACATGGTGATGGTTCTTCCGCAGGCTCATTGGGCTCGGTCTCCACCACAAGTGCCTCTTTTTTCGACACACGTTGGTGGCCCGTCTGCCCGATATATGATTATTTTTTTCAATACAATGTGGTGCCCCACAGTTATGTTTGTTGGTTTATAAGCCCCATTACCCTCTGGTAATTTATGGCCCATCTGGTTTTTAAACAGTTCGCCATGGAAAGATCCACCATTTTTAATAGGTAAACCATCTATAAATGGGCAATCTATACCATGGCTATGTTAAATAAACAGAGGGTTAAATATTCATGATTTACTGATTGGTGGTTTGGAACATGAATTTTATGCCTTTCCATATGCTGGGAATAATAAGCCCAACTGACGAACTCATATTTTTCAGAGGGGTTGAAACCACCAACAAGTTTACATTTGGGTTATATCGATGTGACAAAATATTGATATTGGTATATATATATACATATTGGCAAAAGGTGTTTTAGGGATGATTTACATTTCCAATATCGTTTAAGGATTCTTTTTGATGTGTATGCTACAATGTGAGGCCCCCAAGATAACTAAGCTGGTTTTTATAACTCCAATAACTATGGTTTATGGTACTTATACATATAGTTTCTGGGGCTTATAAACCAACTTATAACTGGGGGGGCCACATTGTAGGATATAAGATATAAATGCAACCAATTAGAAATATGGATACATGATGATACAAAAAAAAAAATAGAAGTGTTGAATTTTTGCTGACCTAAGAGGATTTCAAGATTTCACCATTGATTTCACCAATGGGTGAGGCGAAACTGCCCCCAAAGGCACCTCTGGCGCAGCCACCTCCTTCTTCACAGTGCTCGTCTTCATCAGAGGTGTTGATGCCACGCTCTCGTTGTCCGAGTCGGACAAATCCTCGGGAAGAGACATGGCACTACTGAGGATACCGAAGGGGGGGGGCCAAACTTTAACGCTTTAGGGATACGATACGGGGTATATCGTAGTGTATAACCAACTAAACAATTTGAGACCTAATTTTGTTGGCTAAGTTGATTGAAGTCACTACGTTAACTAGGGTTTACACAGGTTGTAACCATAGTCAGAGGAGTTTATAAAGAATAAACCAACAAAAGTGACTGGGGTGCCCGACATTTTTGGCCTCATGACATGAGTCCCACCGGTGGGAATCCATGGTCTTTCTCTGATCTAAAAAGGTGTCTGAAACAATCATGGCCAAGCGAAGATACTTGCAGTTATGGCCATTTACCAGTTATAATTGGTTATAAATGGGATTATACATTCTATAAATGGGGTTATAAGTACTTATAACTGATAAATGGCCAAGCATCAACGGCCATTTCAGGAACCGATTGATTGGAGGTACCTACCATATATTTTTGGTCTATGTAAGGGCTAAATTTCAGGGGATATACCCCCCAAAATACGGTCTTATATGGTACAGTACCTCCATTTTAGGATCCTGGAATTCCCATTGAAGATACTTGGCATTTTGAATTAACTAGGTACAATGTTGGGCCCCCAGTTATGTTTGTTGGTTTATACAACCCAAATTCATACTATGGTTTTTTGGTATCACAAATCATCGTGAAATTGAAGCTATGTGCACCAACTGAACGCTATCGTAAACGGGCCTGACATTGTATAATACTTGGATTTACCCATTAAAAATAGTGATTTTCCATCGTTTTTTGTATGTTTACCAGAGGGTAACAGGGTAGTCTATATCCAGCTATAGCAAAAGATTTTCCAGTAGTTCCCCATCTTTCATGGCACCAAGCGTTGGGAATTCGCACCGACCTTCGAAAATAAGCTTGAACTGGGGAAAACAAACCATCCATGATGACGAGATAGTGGGATATGTTTTTTTAACGTATATATATATATATATATTATACACATGATACGTATATACATATATTATATATATATGTATGTATATATATATATATATAGTAGCGAACTGAAACTTAGAATGACGTTTTGGAAAATTAACCACACGGATTAACACTTAGAATGCTACAAAAAAAGGTTACACAAAGAATGAATCCAAGGGTTTTGGGGGCATGTGTTTTATGATTTTTGCTGACTTCCACGTGAATTATGCTTTCCTTGACGATTTTTGTCCCTCCCTGCTGCATTTGTAACACTTAGAATGCCACACCAAACCTTTCCTCTTTCCTTCCCTTTTTCCTTTCCTTTGTCCTTTCCTTTTTCCTTTCCTTTTTCCTTTCCTTTTTCCTTTCCTTTTTCCTGTCCTTTTTCCGTTCCTTTTTCCTTTCCTTTTTCCGTTCCTTTCTCCTTTCCTTTCTCCTTTCCTTTCTCCTTTCCTTTCTCCTTTCCTTTCTCCTTTCCTTTCTCCTTTCCTTTCTCCTTTCCTTTCTCCTTCCCTTTCTCCTTTCCTTTCTCCTTCCCTTTCTCCTTTCCTTTCTCCTTTCCTTTCTCCTTTCCTTTCTCCTTTCCTTTCTCCTTTCCTTTCTCCTTTCCGTTCTCCTTTCCTTTCTCCTTTCCTTTCTCCTTCCCTTTCTCCTTTCCTTTCTCCTTTCCTTTCTCCTTTCCTTTCTCCTTTCCTTTCTCCTTTCCTTTCTCCTTTCCTTTCTCCTGCCAAAAATGTTACGCATAGAATGCGTCCAAGGGTTTTGGGGGCACGTGTTTTATGCTGATTTCCACATGAATTATGCTTTCCTTGACGATTTTTGTCCCTCCCGGCTGCATTTGTAACACTTAGAATGCCACACCAATCCTTTCCTCTTTCCTTTCCTTTGTCCTTTCCTTTTTCCTTTCCTTTTTCCTTCCCTTTTTCCTTTCCTTTTTCCTTTCCTTTTTCCTTTCCTTTTTCCTTTCCTTTTTCCTTTCCTTTTTCCTTTCCTTTTTCCTTTCCTTTTCCCTTTCCTTTCTCCTTTCCTTTCTCCTTTCCTTTCTCCTTTCCTTTCTCCTTTCCTTTCCCCTTTCCTTTTTCCTTTCCTTTTTCCTTTCCTTTTTCCTTTCCTTTTTCCTTTCCTTTTTCCTTTCCTTTTTCCTTTCTTTTCTCCTTTCCTTTCTCCTTTCCTTTCTCCTTTCCTTTCTCCTTTCCTTTCTCCTTTCCTTTCTCCTTTCCTTTCTCCTTTCCTTTCTCCTTTCTTTTCTCCTTTTCTTTCTCCTTTCCTTTCTCCTTTCCTTTCTCCTTTCCTTTCTCCTTTCCTTTCTCCTTTCCTTTCCCCTTTCCTTTCAACCAGACGGTTTTACACTTAGAATGCTGCCAAAAATGTTACACATAGAATGCGTCCAAGGGTTTTGGGGGCATGTGTTTTATGATTTTTGCTGATTTCCACATGAATTTTGCTTTCCTTGACGATTTTTGCCCCTCCTGGCTGCATTTGTAACACTTAGAATGCCACAC